GCTTCCCCTGGGGCCCCTCTCTTTCTCTCTCTCTCTGTCATTCTCTCTCTCTCTCCCCCCCCCCCTCCCCTGGGGCCCCGGGGCCCCTCAGTGACCCTGGGGAGGGAGGGAGGGAGGGAGAGGGAGGGACGTGCCAGCTGCAGACATCTGGCCCGGCCTCTGGATGTTTCTGGGAAAGCAGGCAGATGTAACTCCCGGAAGAGTGGGGTAGGGGTCAGGGTGGAGAGGGGGGTCCCTGGAATATGCCCATCACCAGGAAAGGGCCTGGGTTGCACCATGCTGGGATGAGAACAGACCTTGGAGTTGAGGAGGCCTGTGGTGGCCTTGGGACCGAAAGCAAGACAACTTAGGCTTGCCACCATGATGCTCTGGTAGAATGCCAAGCCATGCATGGCCTTGGAAATACACTTGAGGCATAAAAGACCTCATCTCAGATGATTAGAGGATCATGGGAATTGTGAGGCATGGTGTGTGTGTGTGTGTGTGTGTGTACACATACCCAGGGCTGGTGTCCTACTATTTGAGCCACACTTCCAGTCCAACATGGTAAGCTTTTTGTTGTTGTTGTTGTGGGTCATGGCGCTTGAACTCTGGCCTTGGACGCTTTCCCTATGCTCTTCAGTTCAAGGTCAGCACTCTACCGCTTGAGCCACAGCTAGGATTACAGGTGTGAGCCACCAGTGCCCAGCTCCATTTAGTTTTTTGAGGAACCTCCATACTGTTTTCCATAGTGACTGCACTAATTTACACCCCCACCCACAGAATGGAGGCCTTTTACACTCCCACTCCACCCCCAGCCCTTGTCCAGCATTTGTTTTCTTCGCCTTTTTATTTGTGCCAGTCCTGGGGCTTGAACTTAGCATCACATTGAAGTGGCCCAGATAGGAAGAAGTGCCCTAGGCCCCATTGTTGGGTGCCTAGTAAAGTTACTTGGTAGGGTGTGGCCAGTTTACCCCAACCTGCTCCCCTCAGCCTCAGGTGCCCTGTGGCTGCTGTCTGCGAAAGCACTTTAAGATACTGCCTGTGCTTTGATATGGCTTGCTGTGAGCCACCTTTGGGCACCCAGAATACAGACACCAAAAGCAGACCAGGTTATGGGATGGGGGGAACACACAGTACCCTGTGGTGGCAGACAGCTATCTGGGGTGAGACCCTGAAGTGGGAAGCTCCCTGGAGTTGGGGATTGAGCTGGACTTAGAGGCATAGCTGAAGTTAATTCTGCCTGTGCAGGCCAGAAAGGAAGAGCAGATGGTTCAGGTAGGAAAGACGTGGGGGGACTACTGAAAGGGGCGTGATATGGCAGGGGGATGCTGCTCAGGGGAGAACAATTGCCCAGCTTCCCCAGAACCCAAAAGAAGTTGAAGCTGCAGCATCTGCGATTTTCATCCTGAGACTAGGAATCTTGGAGTGTGTGTGTGTGTGTGTGTGTGTGTGTGTGTGTTTGCATGTGTGCTAGTACTGGTACTTGAACTCAGGGCCAGGATGGTGTCCCTTAGCTTTTTTGCTTAAGACTAGTTCTTCCACTTGAGCCACAGCTCCACTTCCAGACTTCTTCTTTTCTTTTCTTTTTTCTTTTTTTTACCAGTCATGGAGCGGATCTTGAACTCAGGGTCTGGGCACTGTCCCTGAGCTTTTATTGTTGGCTTTGAACTTCAGTCCTCAAATTCCATCCTCCTAAGTAGCTAGGGTTACAAGAGTGAGTCACTGGCACCTGGCTGTTGGAAGACTTTTGAGTAGAGGAGAAAATCAGATTCTGTTCTAGAAAGATGAGGGGTTGGAGGCAGGATTAGAAATGATCTAGCTACCTTCTGCCTACAAGGCCTAGGCCCTGAACCAGGGCCATGGTGGGTTTGGAGATGGGGCAAAGAGAGATTCTGGCATAGAAGGCAGACAAAAGGAATGTTGGCTTGTAAGTTGGGTAGAGAGACGACTAAGCAGAATCAAGTGGCCACAAGATCACAAGCTCTGGGTTCACATGTCAGCTCTTGCTTTGTGACCCTGGACAAATGATTTGACCACTCTTGAGTCTCAGAGATAGTCCCTAGGCAGATTTCCAAGTTAAGCATCAAGGACACAGAGTGGTGCAGACTCACAGCAGGTTTTCCTATTTGTTTTTACCTGCCCTGCTTCCTGGATGGAGCTTAGGCCCTCTGATCTGAAATTGCCGCTCTTGGTCTCTTTCCTTCCACAGCTGAGCTTCTAGTCACAGGTGTGGAAGGGGACTGGTGCAGGGACAAGTGTCAGCTGTGCTGTAGCTGGGTGCCAGAGGCACTGTCCTTCAGAGGGAGGGGCTGTCCTTTGCTCCCTAAGTGTGCAGGCTGTGGGGAAGGAGAGTCAGGGAAGATTTTGTGCACCTGCCTGTCTCCTTCCCAACCTTTTTTCTTGGTTTTCTTCTTTTCTTTTTTTTTTCTCTTCGGTCGTGAGGCCTGAACTCTGGGCCTGGGCGCTGTCCATCAGCTCTTCAGCTCAAGGCTAGCACTCTACCACTTGAGCCTCAGCCCCACTTCCGGCTTTTTCTGCTTATGTGGTGCTGAGGAATCGAACCCAGGGCCTCATGCATGCAAGGCAAGCACTCTACCACTGAGCCAACTTCCCAGCCCTTCTTTTCTTTTTCTTTCTTTTTCTTTTTTTTTTGCCGGTCGTGGGGCCTGAACTCAAGGTCTGGGCCCTGTCCTTCAGCTCTTCAGCTCAAAGCAAGCACTCTACCATTTGAGCTACAGCACCACTTCTGGCTTTTTTCTGCTTATGTGATGCTAAGGAATCGAACCCAGGGCCTCATGCATGCCAGGCAAGCACTCTACCACTGAGCCACCTTCCCAGCCCTTCTTTTTCTTTTTCTGGTCAGTTGTGGGGCTTGAACTCCGGGCCTGGGCACTCCCCCAGGCCTCTTTGGCTCAAGGCTAGCATTCTACCACTTTGAGCAACAGCTCCACTTCCATTTTTTTGGTGGCTAATTGGAGATAAGAATCTCTTTCAGAAGCCAGCTGCCGGTGGCTCACTCCTGTATTCCTAGCTACTCAGAAGGCTGACATCTGAGGATCAAGGTTCAAAGCCAGCCCAAGCAGCAAAGTCCAAGATACTCTTAGCTCCAATTAACCACCAGAGAACCGGAAGTGATGCTGTAGTTCAAGTATAGAGTGCTTGCCTTGAGCTGAAGAGCTGAGGGGCAGTGCCCAGGCCCAGAGTTCAAGCCCCATGACTGACCAAAAAAAAAGTTATGGGAAGAGGGAGGCTCTGGGCCCTTCTGGAGTCTGAACCCTTTTCTGCCCCTAGCAGGAGTCACAGCCATGGCCTCCAAATCTGAGAAGAGGGTTGCCTCCTCTGTTTTCATCACCCTGGCACCCCCACGCCGGGACACGACTGTGACAGGAGAAGTGAGGCAGGTGGCTCGGGAGACCCGAGGCCGGCCCTGGGAGGCCCCTGCTCCTGGGAAGGCGCCTGGGGGTGGCCTGGCCGGGAGGCCCAGCCCCTGGGCTCCCACCAGCAAGGCTGCAGCCTGTGACCCAACTGGGCCTTCTCAACTCTCCAATGGAGGTAAGAGGGTGACTGCAAGGGAGGCAGAGGGGGAGGCAGCCGGAAGGTGGGGAGGGAAGGCAGGCTTGGTCTTTCTTTTTTTCCTCTCTGCTTCCCTCCCTTCCTTTCCTCACTCATCAGTTCATTCATTCACTGATTTACTCATTGACTTAATTGATTGTTCATTCATCATCTATCCAGTTATTCATTCATCAGGTTCCCACTATGTGCTAAGCAGAGCATGGGTGATCAGCTTCCTGAGTAGTTGGTATTACCCTTGTGAGCCACCAGTGCCCAGCTGATAGTCGTGGGGTTTGAACTCTGGGCCTGGGTACTGTCTCTGAGCTCTTCAGCTCAAGTCGAACACTCTACCACTTGAGCCGCAGCACCACTTCCGGTTTTCTGGTAGTTAATTGGAGATGAGTCTCTTGGACTTTCCTGCCTTGGCTGGCTTTAAACCTTGATCCTCAGCTCTCAGCCTCCTGAGTAGCTAGGATTTCAGGAGTGAGCCCACCTAAATTTTATTTTTTCATTTATTATCTTACCATTTTATTGATTGATTGATTGTCAGTCCTGGGGCTTGAACTTAGGGCCTGGGCACTGTCCCTGAGCTTCTTTTGCTCAAAGCTAGCCCTCTACCACTTGAGCCACAGCGCCACTTCTGGCTTCTGTCTGTGTGGTGCTGAGGAATCAAACCCCGGGCTTCATGCATGCTAGGCAAGCACTCTACCACTAAGCCACAATCCCAGCCCTATTATTATTATTTTGTGTATGTATATGCTAGTCCTAGAGCTTAGATTCAGGGCCTGGGTGCTGTCCCTGAGCTTTTTTCTTTTTTCAGTTGTGGGGCTTGAGCTCAGGACCTGGGCAGCTTTGTGCTCAACGCTGGCACTCTACCACTTGAGCCACAGCTCCACTTCCAATTTTTGAGTGGCTAATTGGAGATAAGAGCCTCACAGGGACTTTCCTGCTTGGGTTTCAAGCCTCGATTCTCAGATCTTAGCCTCCTAATTAGATAGGATTATAGGCTTGAGCCATTGGTGCCTGGATTTCTTTTTTTTTTAAATCAGTGCTAGAGCTCTACCAGTTGAGCCACAACTCCACTTTTGGCTTTTTGTTATAGTTGTTGTTGTTTAATTGGAGATAAGATTCTCACAAATTCTGGTCACCTGTGGCTCACACCTGTAATCCTAGCTACTCAGGAGGCTGAGATCTGAGGATCACGGTTCAAAGCCAGCCCAGGCAGGAAAGTCTGTGAGACTGTTTATCTCCAAAAAACCACTCAGAAAGCCGGAAGTGTTGCTGTGGCTCAAGTGGTAGAGCGCTAGCCTTGAGCTGAAGAGCTGAGGGATAGCACCCAAGCCCAGAGTTCAAGCCCCACGACCGACCAAAAAAAAAAAAAAACTCTTGGACTGAGAAGGTGGCTCAGTGGTAGAGCTCTTGCCTTGTATGCATGAGGCCTTGGGTTCGATTCCTCAGCACCACATAAGCAAAAAGAAAAAAGCCGGAAGTGGCGCTGCTGCTCAAGTGGTAGAGCACTAGACTTGAGCTGAAGAGCTGAGGGACAGTGCCCAGACCCAGAGTTCAGGCCCTACCACTGGACCCAAAAAAAAAAAAACTCCTGCAGAACTTTCCTGCTGGGCTGGATTCAGATCTCAACCTCTTGAGTAGCTAGGATTACAGGTGTGAGTCATTGGCAATCAGCTATTTAGTTGGTTGTGGGGCTTGAACTCAGGGCCTGAGTGCTGTCTCTGAGCTACTTTGCTCAAGGCTAATGCTCTATCACTTTGAGCCTCAGCGCACTTCTAGTTTTCTAGTGGTTAATAGGAGATGAGTTTCATGGACTTTCTTGCCTGGACTAGCATTGAACTGTAATTCTCAGATCTCAGCCTCCTGAGTAGCTAGAGTTATAGGTGTGAGCCATCAGCACCAGCCCAGCTATTTGTTTTTGAGATAGAGTCTCGCTGTGTTTTGCAGTCCCCTCAAGCTCCTGGCTCAAGCAGGCTCCTCCTGCTTCAGCCTCTTGAGTAGCTGAAAACTACTGTCATGGACCAAGCTTTTACTTTTTTTTCTTCTAGTGCTAGGATAGAACCTGGGGCCTTACTGTGTTCCTGAGCTCCATGCACCCTACCTAGTACACCCTTGGATGGTGATGGCTAGGGATGTAGTTCACTGGTTATGTTCTGGCTTAGTTTGCACAAGGCTCTGGGTTTGATCCCTCAGCACCACACACACAAAAATTGACCCATAATAATTGTACACATTTCTGGGTACAATGTGTGCTGCGTATAATGAGCAGGTTGGGGCAAATGGCACACCTGTGCCTCAAAACCTGGTCATATTTCTGTGTTAGGGACATTCAGAGTCCTCTAGGTGAGCTATTTTGAAATATGTGATTAATTATTGTCAACTGTTACTACCCTCTTGTGCCATAAAAGCATGTATGTGTGGAGAACACATACAACCCCAGCATCCACGGGCTGGTGCAGGAGAATGGAAAGTTGGAGGCCAAGCCAGTCACCTGTGGCTCACACCTTAATCCTAGCCAGTTAGGAGGTCCACAGTTTGAGGCTAGTCTAGACAGAAAAGCCCTTGAGACTCCATCTCCAAAATAATCAGCAAAAATCTGGACTGGAGGTATGATTCAAGTGGCAAAGAACAATTCCAAGCAAATATGAGGCCCTGAGTTCAAACCCAGTACCAGCAGGAAGGAAGGAAAGTTGGTTCAAGACCAGCCTGTGTTATTTAATGAGGCTTTGTCTTTAAAAAAAAAAAAAAAAGCTTTCTGTGGCCAGGCACCAGTAGCTCATGCTTATAATCCTAGCTACTCAGGAGGCTGAGATCTGAGGATTGCAGTTAGAAGACAGCCCAGGCAAAAAAGTCCATGGGACTCTTATCTCCACTTTAACCACCAGAAAACCAGAATTAGTAGCCTTGAGTGAAAAAGCTTGGGAATAGGATCCAGGCCCTGAGTTCAAGCCTCAGGAATGGACAAAAACAACAACAACAACAAAAACTTCCTGTGTCCAGCTCTGCCCCATTTTGATGACACTGGATATTTATTGAGGTAGAGAGTTACTGTTTCCAGTCCAGAGATCTCAGGTGAGACTTTGGGCTAGAACTGTGGCCCTCAGCTAGCATTGCAACTTACCTGAAATCCAGCTTCTCAGGGCTGGCCCCAGGCCTGGTAAATCAGAAACTGGGTGGAGCTGAGCTCTGGGGGTTGGAACAAGAACAAGGACCCCTGCTGATTTTTTGTTGTTGTTGTAGCTCATGGGGCCTGAACTCTGGGCCTGGGCGCTGTCCCTCAGCTCTTCAGCTCAAGGCTAGCACTCTACCTCTTGAGTCACAGCACCACTTCTGGTTTTCAGGTGGTTAATCGGAGATAAGAGTCTCAGGACAGGGGCTGGGAAGGTGGCTCAGTGGTAGAGCGCTTGCCTTGCATGCCTGAGGCCCTGGGTTCGATTCCTCAGCACCACATAAGCAAAAAG